CATTAAGCTTACTCCGCTCTGCTCTGTTGCTATTTAGTTCGATTAAATATTTTATACCCTGTCTTGTGCTGGTATTGAAATCGCATCCGATTGTTTATGCCATCATTTCATAAAGGAAATCGAGCTGCAATATAATCGAACAATTAATAGTTACTTGTAACACACGGATTAATAGGACTTGGGATTTTGAATGTAAATGTCGGTCCATCAACTGATCACCTTTGGATATCTTTTATAATATTTGCCAACCTTGTAGTACATACGGCGAAAAGATGGCGAAATATGGCCAGTGTGAGATTGTAATAATTCCCTGCTATTATTAGTGAGTCTGTTCTTAAAACTTTCATTGAATTAAAAGTAAAAAATAAATAAAAATAAGAAACATAAATATACGAAGCTTGTAAGTACTCAAAGCCGCTCCGCTTTATAAGCGGATCACTTTTAATAGATCTTAGAGGACCGATGGGAAAATTGATGATGATCCGTGTAGAAACACGTTGACAATAGACAAAACTCTGGGGACAGGACAAGCTTGCAAACCTAATAAAGTCTTTTTCACCCTAAGGTAAATATATTCTTCTCACATGCTCTATTAAGTGGATGTGTCCCGATCCATTTTCATATATCAACATAAGGCATGGGCTCAATTCAATAAACTAATCATTGCTGTTATCTCTATAGATGAAGGCGGTACCGATATTTTAGAGACATGAAACTATCGAGTCTTAGTTAAAAAAAAAAAAATTTGATTAGGAAGGTTGTGTTCACTAATAGACAAATATCGAATGACCATCTTTTATTACAAATAATTCTCGGTTTGTTGTTCTCGGACTGTTGAAGTTAGATCGTATTAATCATAATATTTGTTTCAGTTGATCTTGATATTTTAAGCCAGACTCTTCAAGCAAAATTACGCGAAAATTTGGCACGTTTTAGACGGAGGACCCAACGCGAATCCAAAAGGAATGGAAACGACATATCGGCTTTCCATGATAGACCTAATAATGATAAGAGAATTATGCGCTGCTTTTTGCCAAACAATTAATTGAAGAATATAAACCGAACGGCCACCAGCCATTATGTAAATTGTTGTAATATTGAACGCGAATTTGAAACTATATCGAAAAAGATTCTCATAGTGCAACTACTCTTTTGCAATAAAGCCGACGTTTAACTCATTTGCTACATTAATCAACATTATATTCCTATTCAGGTGTTGTAAATGCATTGTTTGGGTGTAGTTTACGCCAGCGCCATTGCTGATCGATAAAAACAAAAAAACTATAGTAGATGACGTCGCACTATACACCATACATAATGTTGATCAGATATTTATGGCAAAAGAATTAAATGTTTCTCACTTATAGAGGACACTACGAAAGGTATCAAACACCAGTCTTTTTTGCCGAGATTGGTTCGGTCGATTCGCTTAGGAAAAACGCGATAAAAATGCAATGTTTATCTCATATATTTCTACATCGCTTTTGTTGCATAAAGTCCAAGTCAAAAAAAAAAAATACCCTAAGAGTTATCTAAAAGTTTCCGAAAATTTACTTAGCTCTTACAGATGGGTGTTTTAAACATCCCCCCAAACTAACTTCGTTCCATTCGAAGGTATATGCGTGCAATAATGCGAAATAAAATATTCGCTTTAAATCTCATACGACGGCTCTATCGTTTTCAATTTTCGATAGTACCTTTGTATATACTTTACAATACAATACAATATTTTTTGGAGAGAAATAAGCATTTCCTTGTCTTTGATATTTTCTTTATATCTAATATCGTTTATTTTCATAGGGTAAACTCTCTCATTCACATCTAAAATTGAAGTTATGCATTTTTTCAAGAGTATATATATATATAGTAACACCTTACACTCTCACTCTAGCTCTTTTAGCTATTTTTTCTATTTCATTGCCATTTGCGTTAATGCGCCTTTTTAATGTGGCACCAAACAATACGGCGTCTTTTTATTATTTAATTTTTCTACGCATTTTCATAATTTTTCATATTGTAAGGCTCTACGTTATACGATATTTGTTGGTTGGTTGATTGGTGTTTATAAGAAAATTTAGTCATTTGGTTATAAAATAATTCATATTCATTTAATTGAATCAACGTCTTAAAGTGCATTTTATTACTGGTGAGGTGAGCGGTGAGCAGTTACAACAAGCACCAAATTAAAGAGATTTTATGAAAAAGACGCGATTTCAATTGTGCCGACGCGAAAACTGAAAATGTATTAGAATAAAGCAAAAAAAAAAATCTACACACAGATATAGAAAGTGGAGTTTGTTCCGGTATCGGATTCATTTCAGAGAATTTTCATTTTCATCTCGGACGACGAAAATCGATTCGCTATATTAATTCGAAATGGAGAGAATTATAATAATACGGTTTAAATGATAAGATGAGAAATTTCATGTAACCATAAGGGTTTGCCGAGATTTTAAACAGGTCTTAAAGCTTATATATACATAAGACGTAAATCTATCGTCTCTCATTACAGAATTAATTTCAACGGCAGAATCTTTCTATGAGAAATTATAGCACACGGCATGTACTAATTGAGTCTCACACTGTCTGAGTATTTTTTTGAAGATTGAATGGATATTTCCCTACTTCAAAAGTAATCTGGATATCATTCCAAATTCACCGGGTATTGGATACATTAAAAATTTGCAGGAGTTTGAGCGCACTACAATCAAAAGTAAAACTAGTATAAGTAAATATACTTGTTACCGTTACCGCACAATAAAATAAATTTAACATCCGCCCTATCGATGTAGATACGTTTCCTATATAGCCTAACATCCTGAGCTTTATTAATCGGCGTGTCTTAGGGCTTAAAGATTCTAGTCGTAACGAATATAGCCTGCGTGCAAAAAAAAAAGAAGAATGAAAAAACACTCATCGACATATATCGCCGAAGCCTTTTCTACATCAAAAATGTTGCTTGCATGGATCGGTTAATTTTAAATCAAAATTGAAATTTCGTTAAACCAAAACGTGGTCGAGTTAACTAAGGCTAGTAGTCGCGATCTATACGGCTATTTCTAGATTAGAACGGCCTATTTTAGATCATATCAAGAAGAGCTGCAAAATGCTGAGCATAAATCAATGAACAGATTCAATATAACGAAGGGCGCGGTCTCACGCATTATATACAAGTAAGTCTAAGACATATAAAATGATATTCAGGGTCGTTAGCTTTTTTTTCTTCTTTCATTGTTCATTACAGTCTGGCCGTAATTAGCTTGTTTTATTTATTTCCTCTTAACTCTGGAGATTGTAAGGAGAATTTGTTTTTACTACCCTTATAACGCTTAAATTTTTTAATATACTGTAGAGAGGGTTTACGATGCAAATTGGATTAGTTTCACTCTTTACTATTCATTATTCTTGAGTTTGGGTAAATCATTAACAATGGTTTCATTTTTTCGTGGTTTTTATACCCAGTACCGAAGGATGGGGGGCATAATCATTTTGTTCAAACATTTGCAACACCCAATAAACAAGTTTCCCAAGTTTCAGAGACCTCATAAAGTATTTGTATTTTTGATTAGCGCAATATTCTGAATCGGCTTAAGCATGTGCGTCTATCCGTCTGTCGGTCTCTATAATGTCTGCTGTAGACATTCACTTGACCACAAAAATTAAGCTAACGCCTCCAAATTTGTCAGGGACATTGGAAGGTCTTGCACACACAGATCGATATTGCAAATGAGCGAAGTGATTCGAAGCGCATGCCTACAATGCCACGTAATCGAAAAAACCTGCATTTTCATGGCTCAGAAATTACAACGGATAAAAGTATGAAAATTTATATGTGTATGTCTGTGAAAATTTCGAAAAAAGCGCCCACCCAATATTTGTAGTGCCCAATATTATATAGTGTATTGAAATTTCATTTCTTATCAAATCATTATAACGTCCAGAAGCAAGCTTTAGAACCCCCGTAAAGTATATAGATTCTTCACTAGTCTCCAATTCGGAATGCACTAAGACACGTTCGTGTCCGCTTGTCCAATTGCATAGTATCTGTTGTAACTATTTGAAAATGGCCCACACCGACCAAAGGACCCGCCTACAATACAATCAAAATTGGAAAATGTTCTTACTGCTAGTGACTATTGTTCGTTACTCATACACTGCAATAAAAAGACGATATCATTTCCAGTTTTATTCATTAAAAATTGGAAAAGTCATCTACGCCCACCCAATCCTATAGAGTATGAATATTTAGTTTTTCCTTTCTTGCACGGTACCGATGACGGTGATGGCAATAAAAGAATAAGAGGGTAATCACAGCCGAATATAATTTTCTTAATTGTTTTCGTATTTTTTTTTTTCCATCATCGGAAACCTGAGATCATAAAGGCATACCTCTTACATTTGTGACAGTCAGAGAAGTGTGTGACAGGTTGGTGGCTCTTGATAAGATCTGGATATGATTTTGCGTCAGGAAATGAAATCGTAAAATCAGAACAAGCTATTATTCATTTCTATAGTCGTACAGTATCTATCGATAAAGATAATTTTCAAATCTCTCAAAATGATAGCAAGTAGGAAGAGAATCTGTGGCAATTTTTTAAATTGTCGGTTTAGGGACCATTGTTGCGGGGAGCCTTTGAGCGTCTGGAGAAGAAATTTTAAATAAATAGATAAATATTTTGAATGGATTCTGAAACTGGTTACACTACAGACAACGTGAATTTTATTTTTTTAGTTTCTTTTATCATAATATAATTGGACAGTTGGATGTTACAGCCGAAGAGACAAAATTTATGTATGTCCATCAGCAAGCGGTAAGTACAAATAGTTTATACAGGATGATCTTTATAGTTTTAAGGAGACATTTTTGGGGAAAAATTTTAAGAATTTCCCGCTTTTCGATCAACATGTGCTTTTCATAAATTGGTTGCAAAATTTATTGGCACACGCTGCGGATACATTTTACATACGTTTATTACATAATTATTTGTTTTTCCACTTACCTTAAAGCCCGGCTTAGTTTATCGTAATTCATATTCGGCTTTGATTTACGTTCGCCCCAACGTCTGGCCACCTCGTCGGGATCGGTTAATTTGAATTCACCGTTTGTACCCTCCCAGGTAATACAGCCGGCATTGCTTGAATCCGATAAGAGCTCCAATAAAAATTGCCACAATTGTATTTGACCTGAACCTGAATAATATATAAATGGGAGAAAATCAAAAACAAAAACAAAAGCGGAAATTAACAAATTCTCCATTTAATGTTAACAGTTTGACTGCATTTTTTAAGTTTAAAAGAAATTTTAAATATCATATTTTTAAAATTCGAAGGCATAATACCGCAAAACGCATACACACGTATATAGAGTAGTAGGATAACGATATTGTGATGAAAACAACTTAAGGAATTATTTTTATTATCTTTGTGTGCTTGGGACTCGATACGCACTTCAGAGTCAACGTTGAACATTAGGGAACATCGTAAATCGCTTAATCATTTGGCAATTAAGAAACGTTCGGAAATATGATGGAAAAGTTTAAGAGAGGGGAGATACACGCAGCATACATATATATATATAGCAAGACGTGGTCGTGCGCACATATATTAAGGGTTGAAAAACAAAAACAAAAATAAGAAAAAGAACAACAGCATAACGATGATAATGATGATAGTAATGATGATGATGATGATGTTGATGATGATAATGATGTTGATTGCAAAATGAACACACTTTCAGAAAATTTTGATTCTTTTATTCTATAAAGGCTTTTATGTGGCATTTTAACACCACTCATGTGTGAGATCATCATGAATATTGTGTTAATTGCAAATCAGAGAAAGCATGATAGAAAGAATATAAATGATAAACGGGAGCAAATAGATGATTGAGGTACCAATAGTCGTTTAATGAATGAGATGATGTGAATAAATTTGTTATAAAAATCAAATCAAAGCGCAGATCGAGATTTCGAAATCAACGTTTAACTAAAACATAGCACGTGCTTACTAATGGACTTTTACATTTCTGTATGTTATGCGTCTATTCGCTATTGCTACTAGGCTACTACCTAATGCATATATATACATATATATATGTATGTATGTATGTATGAATTCTTGGCCATGCTGTTACGTAATTACGTTTTGCGATTTTATTTTTTAAATATTTCAGCAACACTTGCACTAATTCTTGCTTCCTTCCTTTTGACGGTTTTTCTATGCTCTACTGAGTTTTGTCGACTTTAAGAAAACAAAAAAAAAAAAAAAAAAAAAAAAATAGAGAGAAAATAACTTTAGCACAACAAACGCATATGCTGGCAATATTTTAATTACTAACATGCAACACTCGCACTTACACTAACACTTGTGCGGATTTTAAATTGAAAATTCAAACGAAAAGGTCTTTAAGAATATAAACGAGCGCCATTTTTTTTTTTTTTTTTTTTTTTAATAAAAAAGACGAAGAGAAATTTTTTTAGAACAGAATGAAGAATAGAGGAGGTGAGGATACCAGCACACGCCCAAGTTCTGAGCGCCATTTTGCTTCTTTTTTTTTTTTTTTTTTTTGCTTGTCTGAATGCCTGAATGTATATGTAATTTACATATTATTTTAGTATTCGCTGTTACTGAGAGAGTATTTCGAATAAGTAGGAAAATGATTTCTGCCGTTATAGCGAATCGTAGATACTCATCATCATCGAGAAGAAGTTTATAAAAATCGCCCATACTTTTATTGCGATCGTATCAATGGACGGATCGAAAACATTTTAACCATTACAATTATTGGAAATGATGGTAGAATAGTTTTGCTATTTTTTTGCAAAATGGATGAAACTATCAATTTTATATATGTATACATATATGTACATATTTATTATCGAATATACGAAATCAGGTCAACTTAGGTATGCTCGCTTTTTCGATTATTTGTCGTGCGTTGTCGGAGCTGAAACATCCGTTATATGTCGTTTCACGATCTTAACCGGTTAAATTCCGTTTGCTTGGCCTGTTCGTAAATCATAAGCATTTTATTTTGCAAATTATTGCTGTCAATAAGTAACAATTTTCATTGTTTGTATAACTAAAGCTTAGCATAAATGATTGTCGGGATAATTTAAAAATATTTAGGGAAGTAATAGAAACTCAATATTCACACGCGAAGCAAAAACTTTACGATTTCCCTATGCTTGCTTAGAGTATTTGTTAGCCAAGTTATCACTCATTCATTACATAATAAATATTTCAAAATGCGTATCTTTTCTTAAATTAGAAAAATATCAAAACCATTTTCGTTGTTTTAGAAATTGGGCAGTAATAATAAGAAAATTCACTGCTATAAAATTCTCCCTAAATCTGGCGTTACATATGCAAAACTGGAATATTCCCTTTCAAGTTTCGTAGCTTCGGCTAATAGTAAGCGAAAACAAGGCACCTTAAGGATTGGGGAAGTTATTCAAACTTTTAATATAATGACGCGCACATACACGTATATGCTTAAATGCATTATATTATTTGTGTGTGTGTGTGTGTGTGGGTGTGTTACGAATGGAATCAGAAATTTAGCATACTTTTACGCTTTAGTGGTGGCTTGAAGAGAACTAAAAAAAAAAAAAAGAAAAAAAAGGAAAAAAAAAAACAAACACAGCAAAGCGAAGGATGGATTTTAATGTTAACTAAAAATGTTAATTTAATTTTACCAGCGCATAACATACACACAGAGAGTTTAATTAAAAAACTAAACTTACAAAAAAGTAAGACTAAGAAAAAGAAAGAAAAACGGCGGAAATAATTAGTTGTGTTAATCTGGCTTTATTCGTTGTAATTTTCTTTGGCAACGACTTGAATTCTTGCAAGAGGCCACACAGATATTATTTATTTATTTATTTATTTCTTTTTGTTCCTCATTTATTTATTTATTCTTTCGTTTCTCGTTCGTTACAAACGACGACCTATACGAAATATGAAAAAAGTTTAATGTAAAGTTTACACTTTTGACATTAACGAGAATACGTCACATCGTATAATAAATGATAGGAGAGAACGTAACGGTATCAAAATATTCTTCGCCTTTTTTTTTTTTCTTTAATGAAAACATACATAATTTCTTTATTAACGTTCGACTGCAGTGATTCCAAGCGCTGACCATAAGTTGTTGTCGTTGCTGTTATTATTATTTTTATTGTTCTTGTTGCTGTTGTTGTTGTTGTTGTTGTTGACCATTAAATAGCATTGAAATTATTCGAAAACATATATTATTTTCTATTTTTATTTATATAATATGTATATGTATGTATTCACGACGAAATAAATTCATTTGCTCACACCACACGTAACGCCGGGCGTAATAAGCCCGAATAAATAAAAAGTTTTCAAATTTTATTTATTTTATTCAGCATATAATTGATTCTAAGCCGATTGTGCTGCGATTCATTTCCGATAAAAAGAACTTGAGATGACTACATCGAAACACTAAAGCTACAAGTGAGAAAGGATTCTCCAAAAAAAAAAAAAAAAAAAGAAGAAAACAACGAGGAGACGCAATTTAATAATTTCAAACTTCTCATTAATTCGTTGTTAAATCATTCATCGGTCATTTCGATTCCGACTCAGTGAAATTTCGAAATCTTTTCTTTTAGATTTTCTTCTTCTTCTTTTTCATTTGATTCTATTAGCAATTAAGTTGATACTAACGTATCTAACGAGCCTGGTGAGGTTCGTGAGGTATCTGAAATTCGATCTAAGACATATGTAGTGTTTCTATTTTGTTCATGGTTTTAGTTGTTCTTGTAGAGTCGAGTGTGGAAAAATATTACATTTGTGTTTTCTTTTTTTTTTTTTTTTTTTTTTTTTTTATATTCAAGTCGATTGCATGTTTAAAGCATTTAAATTTTCAGTGAACCTTTAGAATGTGAAAGCTACTTGAGCCGGACCTCAAGTAACAAAGCGGTTCCGTGTTTTAAGGAAACTATAATTAATCAAAAACAGCATTTTTGCCACCATCTTGCTTTCTTATTGCTAAAGCAATACCTAACTGCCCCCCCTTCCCCCCTCCTCCCTTCTCAAGCATGCAGATGGATGGGTTAGGCTGAAGCATTTCTCTCCTCTTTTATGCATTTCACATTTTAGACTTGGTGGCTGGTTGGTTGTCTGATTGAGTGGTTGCTTGTGTTTGGCTACTTGAGTTGTCGTTACATTAAAAACAAAATGAGCTCTTCCATGAAGTTCGTGAAAATGACGGAGGCAACTTTTGCATTTCAAAAATACACTGTTAACTTATATATATATATATATATATATATACTTATACTTTACTAGAGATATAAATACATATGCATAAATATGTATAATATAATGTAATATATCCACAATTCACGTATATAGGTAAGCAATTTGAAAAGCCACCAAACATTCTTTGGGTTTCGCGTTTTCAGTCAGTTCAGTGTTTTATCTCATAAATGCAACAAACGTTGCCCTTACATGAACACCTGGGTGGGCTCACGTTTAAATATTTAAACGTATTGTCTTGAATAACAACAGTCATAGCATGATTTAGTTTTAATATGTAAGTAAAATGTCGACAATGGAAATGTGCAAAAGTCACAGGCCCCACCGCTCTCTCCCAACACCCCTTTAGAATAGAAGATATTTTCAACGGTCGAGAATAATTCGACTGAAGCAAGTAATTTTATGGCATTCTTCTCTTTTTATTTTAAAATTAAAGATTATTTGTCGGTCATTAATAACTTTTCCACGAAGAAGGCCGTTACGCTGACGCCAAAACTTTATAACTGTTTTGTTTTTAAAAACGACCATCAAGAGTACAAGGCATTTTCATACATTGTGACCCAAGCAGGGCAAGCATTTCATTGCATTGTAAAGCCATTTTTTTTTTTGATTTTATTTTCTGCTGTGTACTTAAGGGCACGTGAATGGCTACTGAATGGCATAGAGGTTTCTTAAAATGCAGAGAAGGCGTTCCATCTGAAAGAGCAAAGGAAATAATCGCTTTTCGTTTATCACATTTGTCTGCCATTTCTCTGACATTGCCGGAAGAGGGGTGTAGAACCTAAGTGCGGCCAGGTATTCATCTAATTTGAGGCCTTACCTCCTGTTCGACGTTCTTCTTGCAAGCTGCGTCAATGAAATATCTGCAACCAGACGGCGGACATAATCGTTTCGTTGGATCGATTATGATGTCGAGCATGGCATGCGAAGGCATCGCTTCAATAATTCGTACAATAAGCCGTCTAGTTCTTTCATGCGAAAACATATTTGCGCGCAAAGACTTTCTAATGAAACACAATCTTGCCTGGATTTGAAATGTGGAATCTGGATTCTCTCATATGTGCTGTCTCCTCAACACGGTGCAAGACATAAATCCATTATTCTTCGCACACTGTCCTTGTCGTAATCTCTCCGGCAGGTGCACTTTTCGATTCACTTTTATTTGGCATTGCTTTTTTTTTTTTTTGGCTGATCCAAACCACGTAATATCAACATTTCGGACGTGGCGAGCCCGAGGCGCTATCAAGAATCATTACATTATCAATCCACAAATGTACGTACGTTTACGTTTCTATATTTAATTTCTTACAGCTTCTTAGCAGCCAATACTGTACTATCACACTCGTAAGTCATTCATTCACTTAATAATGTCTGCTCATTTGTGTAGCCTCTTCTACTGCAGATTTTCCCATTTGAGCATTCGAAAGCATGAAAGTCTGAAAGAAGTCTGAAGAAACACTGAACTTGCCTTACGAGGTAAGTTGCGTCAATTGCTTATCATCTGAAATTTGGCAAAAGTATTTTATTATCTACTATTGCTAAATATACGAAAAAGATTTTGGCAATCGGCTAACTAACAAGCTCATGAGAGATGATTTCGAAAAAGAAAAAAACTCACTTTCACTTAATTGCCTTAGATGACAAATAATTAAGTGTTTAGTGTTCCGCATTCGCTATCTCAGTTATTTTTACGAGCTTTTTAAGATATGAAGTAGGCTGATCCATCAATGACGTCCACAGAAGAATAATTTGCAGAGAGTAGATTTTGGCAAAAATAAAAAAAATCGCTCTTAAACTTGCTTTAATGGCAGTCGTTTCCTTACTTGACATATCATCTTAGGGCCAAAGAAGAATTTTTATGGCAAATAGTAATTTTAACATTGGACCGGCTTGATAAATTAGTACGCCACATGTGATTTGATAGCGTTTGGCTTCGAAAAGTAATTGTCGCGTGAACTCTAACAAGTATGAAAATTATATTCGGTCGTGACCGCATCTTTTGTACTCATCGCCGGCTAAAGATCAGTCTTTAAAAGACCGAAAAACAGCAAAAAAAAGGAACATTTTATAATCCGTACTGTTGGATAGGCGTGGCTGACTTTCTCTACTTTCAGAATAAAAGTGGAAATTTATATGGTGTATGTGTTGTATTTTATGAGTAACAAGCGAAAAACACGGCAAGCAAAGTTGTTCACAGTTTTTTTTGCACAGACGGGTAGTCAATGTAGGCGTGTCTTTTATCCGGTTTAGGTCATTGTGTCACTGTGTTTGCAGGCAACATCTTCATTTTTGCGAACGGCAGATGTAGATGGGCAAATTGACAGACAAACAGACGGACATATTGACGTGCGTCCCGAATTTAAAACTGGCCAAGATTTTGTATATTTTATGGAGTTTTTGAATCTTGCTTCTGCTATAGAAAAAAAAAAATTGCTTTTGCCGATGCATTATAATACTGGGTGATCGTGATCAATTTTTGCCCATATGTTTGCGTATATGTCATGGAGCAGTGCATATACAATATATGTTCAAATTGTTGTGTATTTATCTGTTTTTGGCTTATGAGTAATGGGCAAGAAGCTAATGTGTTATTCGTTTTAAAGAACAGAGGTATTCTCAGTTCACGTAATGCTGTGGGCGTGTTCTTCAACCTAGCTGGCCCATATTTCGTAGCAATTTGCGTGCAAGAGCTTCCAACGTTTCCGCCAAATTTAAAGTCGATAATTTCACTTTTGCGGCCAGGAGTATGTTTACGATAGACTTTATACAGACGGAGAGATAGCTGGACAGGCAGACAAACACGCATAAATCGATTCAGAGTTTGTTGTTGATCAAGAATATATGCATATTTTGTGGGATCTCTGAAGTTTCCTTTGGGGCATTGCATATGTTTTGACAAAACCGATATACCATCGGCAATCATCCTTCAGCGATGGGTATAGTAAATCGCTGTTTATCAAACAGGAACTTCGCAAGAGATATCGTTAGATAGGTAGTGTACGAGTTTTGTCGAAGTAAGTAATAAAAGCGTTATCGTGTCGCTTACGTTATTGTATAAGCGAACTCAGAAATCTTAGGTGTGTGAATATTTCAAGTTCTCATAACTGTCCACTTTTATGAGTCATGATAAACGACTTTTCTTTTTGGGCGTACAATCGTATATCATTTATATATATTTTGTTTTTAATTTTCATTTTTTGCAAATTAACCCTTTAAAGAATTTCGTTTGCATTTTTGAACGTTTAAAGAGGTCGTAGATAGCAGGGAGAAAATTCATTTCATATAATCATAAAAATTAATTGATGATAAGAACAATATCGTTTAACCCTTTGTTGTATTCTAAATCTCTATCACGTGTATGGTTTAAAGTATGTTTCTGAAAAATTTAAAAAAAAATAAATGGAATTTAAACATTAAATTAACTTCACCGTACACACCCTTCTCCCTAAACTGCGTACGTACGTACATAAATATGTATTAAAGCGAACACCTTTTCGTTGGGTTACGGCATGGTGCCGTAGTAGTAAGAAAAGTAACATTAACAGTTAGACTATAATTTAATTATGAGTTCTTTTATTTTATTTTATTTTATTTATTTATTTATTTTTTTTTTTTCGTTTTCAGCGTATGGGGGGCGTGCGTGTATGTGTGTGCGTTAGTTAAAGGTGTTACTCGCCCATAAAAGTTAAATCTTAAAAAGAACTTTGTAGAAATGTTTCATTTTAAGGCAGACAGAGACAGAAGTAAGTTATGCGTTCAAAAAAATCTCAGATAGTTACGAGCACTTCCCACACAAGTTGTTTTTTATGTTAAATATAAACTTTTAACATGGGGTTGGCGTTTAATTCACAGGTGTTGATGTAGATATGCTAATTATTTAGGGAAGAAAGCGTTGTAGGTCGCAATATACAAATTACAGACATTCAAACATTCGTTCCTTGTATTCGCATTTCTAATTTCAACTTTCCGACATTGAGTGTTCCGTCTTTGCTTGCAGGAGTGCAACGTCAGCAATAACACGTGACCTCTTGATACCTGCTTAATAATAATCTTTTCACCTGCATCTTTATGCAGTTGATTTTTTCTTTTTTTTTTTTTTCAAGAATATGAATTTTTTGATATTTTCTTTGTTTGTCTTAGTATGCAAAATGCATGCACTTACCCGAACTAGCCAAGCGACTGCTGGTGGGTCCGAACATTTGATATGGATCTAAAAATATTACAAAAAAAAAAAAGAAAAAGTATTATAACAAAAAGTGCGCTTTTTTCATTAGACTGAGGCAAGCTTCAATTTCAATATCAATTTCAAGTTTTCAAAGTGCTCTCAACTTTACCCCAAACAAAACAATAATGAAAAAGGAGAAGAAAGAGCTGAGTCACGGCTTGATTGTAAAAGACAAAAACTATTGAAAATGACTTTTAATGTTTGGTAGATTGATTTTAAGGGCTAAACAACCAATATTCTTGCGTAACGAGATGAAGGCTTAGACTTCTCACAAACTTCAATTCTTCAAGCGATTATTACATTACAAGATTTGCAAGACTTTAAATTTCTTTAACGAATTCAAGGTTTGTTTTCGACAAAAAGTCCACCACCTCTTCATCGCTTTAAGTACATACTGCGTAGGATATACTTTAAAATATTTAACGATCACAGGCATTGCTGAGATCCGAAACTGCTGCTGAACAGCTTCCTAGCTAATAACGTAAATTGAATATTGATTGGAATATTTTTAATACGATAACAACATTGCTTCAGTACCTGCCAAAATGGGTACGCGAAGTGCTTATAGGAGGAGAATAAAAAAAAAAAAAAAAAAGTCCACCGTTTAAATTAATGTTTTTAAACTACTTCGGGATCGGAAATGGGAGTAAATATAAGATAAGCCCAACTATTTTATAACAGTACGTCCAATGCAATATTTGGCCTCGCCTCGTTATAACATAAAATAATAAAAATTATACCTTTATGTCGTATATAAACTTACTGTACATGAGAGGTCCGAAGAATAGATCCATGCAGTCCAAGCTTATCATGGGATATATATTTCATATCGTATCGATATTCATTACAGATTATTACAACTTTTTGCCCTATAATTGCCTAATTTTTGTTTTGGAAACATTCATATGTGCATGGGTTCAATAAATCGCCTTAAAAATGTACACTTTTATCGATTATTGTCAAGGATCTTTGAAAATTAGGACTGCATATGAGGAGCGATTCTGAAAAGAGTCCAATCGAAAGTATTTTCAATAGCCTTCGTTTTCCAGTCAAAACAAGTTAGTTCACTAAATTTGGAAATTCCAATCTACACGTTGAACATAAAAACACATGGACAGACAGAGAAATACGGTAAAAATTAAATTCAGAAAATAATTCTCAGCAAGAGGTGCTCTTCTCAATACTGCATATCTCCGCGTAACGTTTTTGTGTATATACCTTTGACGAATATAGTGTAGGGTATTAATTAAGGATTCGTGTTTTAACCGAAATATGCGAAGCGTATTACAGAGAATTGTCATTTGTTACTGCAGTGAAACATCAAAATCAACGCTTTACTTTATCATATTCATCACTAGATGCCGCTGATCAAAATACATGAAAGCACCTATGACTTATTCCGCCATCTCTTGTTTCGCTTGTATTACATAACGTGACGACTTGCCGTACGGTACGTAAATATCACCTTTAATAAGAATAAAAAAAAAAGATGACACTCCGTAGTATATGATCTTATATATAAGAGGCCGGGTGTCTGATGCGTACATCTAGGCATGAAAAATGTCGTTGAAAATGTCAATAGATTACAATTTTTCCAAAAAAAAAATATATATATATATATATATATATAAATTATAGGCATTAACTGAGAGATGAAATTCATTTCTATTTCATGTGTATTTAGATATGTGTGATTATTATTTAGATTTCATTACAATTTATTCTGAGAAAATATATCATTTTTTAAGTCCAATATCATGGAAGTGCTTTTAGTTTACGTTTCCGTAATAGATTCTGAGAGGTGTGAGTGCACATCATAGGCAAGTACAATCAACGCTTAAGTATGAGTGTAATAGTCGAGGGCCTACTTCGCGGGAAAAATATTTACAAAATTCTTAAATTCATGAAGTGTGTCCATAAGGGCTTTTACCTACATACGCATATATTGATGTGTATTAAGGCACACGTCCAAGTACCAGAAGGCAAGCAGCCCGCAAGTATGAATTTCTCTCAATAACTAAATGTATGTATAATGGATTTGGTTTTTTGTTCCTCTTTTTTTCTTTAATGAAATTTTTTGCATTCGAAAAAATCTAAAATATCGTTTTCGTGGCAATTGTGCACATTTTGTGAAGAGCTCTTAGGGCGTGGCACTTAACAAATGAATTGCCGACTGCTTATTGTATAATGTTCCGTTAGTTTTAACATATATATATATATATATATATATATATAAGTAATTGTATCCATTAAACCCTTACCTACCTACGCAATTGCATAGAAATGTATGTTGGCATGCATGTGTATGCATAACGGAGTAACAAGAAAATTACAACAACTTTTTATTGTACTTTATTAAAAAGTTTTCCATTCACTTATACCTCAATGCTTATACTTGCAGACACACATACACACGCTTATACATACATATATATATATATATATATATATATATATATATATAGTGATACATATATACACACCCACACATATTTAAAACGATAAGTGAGCAAGAATGAGACGAATAAAGAAATTTTACAAAATGCCAAGTTGCCTAACTTGAAGTACACAGCAAAGCGCACAACGCGCCAACATTTCATTCAGAAACGTCGCTTTTGAACATTGTTTAGTATAATGCAGTGAAATCCAATTCCCTGATCCGCTCTGGTCCTGCTATTCCTTTTTCATTTTTATTTATTTATTTTATTTTTTTATTTTTTTATTTTTTCAATTATTATTCTATACGTGTGCATTTTGCTTACAATTCGGTATAAGAACGAGTGCATACACAAACGTATGCATGCATAAGTAAAACAGTTCATAATAAGAATATAAGATGTACAGTAATGTAATTTCATCTCAAGGTATAACGGTATTTCTTCGTAATTTTAATAAATCAATTTTCTGCCATTTAAAGTTTTGCAACATTAACGTTGCTTCTCAGTTGTTTCAAATCTATTCTGCTGCTCTATTCTTTTCTTATACCTCTCCCCCTAGATTTGTTTTGCTTTGCTTTATTTTATATTCATTCATTCGTTCACGTAATGCGCGCTTTAAAAGGAGGCAAAGAAAAACGAAAAAAAAGGCAGAAAAAACAAAAATGAAAAAAACTTTGGACACGCGGCGGTTTTTAAAAGAAAGGAAGCATTCAGCCAATCCGTGCTTAGCATTTTGCTACAATTCTTAATAATTTCGTTGATATTTGAAAATGTTTGTTCAGTTTTTTATTATTATTATTGTTATTATTGTGCAAGAAGAAGAAAACAAAAACTTAATGTGTTGTTTATAAAATCGCGCGTCAACGGACCAGCCAACCGAACAACACGTCACATGTTGACAGCACAACAACTTAATTCTTCTCTAATTGTGTTCTCCAATACTTATCATACACATGTATGTGTTTGCACTTCATCTCAAATACATTTCATTTCATTCATTCCATTTCATTACATTACATTGCAATTCAATACACACACTTATCATTACATATTTCTATGTTCAATGTCTTTTTTTCAAACCCTCCTTGATATTATTATTCTTTTTTCTGTTTTTTTTTTTTTTTTTTTTTTTTACTTATTAACCCCCATCCTTTATCGGCTAAATATTGAGGTTTTTAGGACGACATTGTTCACACACAAAAACAACAGTTTTTTTATTTTTTTTCTGCAATTTAGGTTTTCGAACAAAAAAAAAAAAAAAAAAAATCCATTTAAAACTTTTCTTCATGATTTGTTTGCGTTGTTGTTTTGTATGTCAATGCCGCAAGTGCGTTCGTTATTGTTTCAGGCAAAGGTTTTGCGGAGAAAGGATTTTCAAGTAGCAGATTTTGTTGCTGTTTTTCTTTATTTTCATTCCATTTAAAGTAGTTCGTTTCATATTCAAGTAGCACTCGAATGCGCCTCTGTGTAAAACTTAAAAATGTTAATGATTTATTGTTTTGTTTGACGGGTACTGAGCTCTAAGACAATCCCTACCCGTATCGATGCTTATCACTAACAAACTTACCAGGTTGTCTTAAATGTGAATGTGGATCCAGTGATGATTTTCCAACACTTACTCCTACACTGCTCAAAGCATTCGAACTGTAGCCTGTGTATGAAAAGTAAAATAAATTTAAATTTTTTTAAATTTCCATTTTTAATAAAAACAAAAAAAAAACAAAAAAGTAATGTTCAGCTTCGTTGGATTCTTTTATGCCCACTCACCACTGTTATCCTAATAAGAATTAAAAACAAAAAAAAAAACGAACACAACTTTTGCACTCTATAATATTGGACTTTACGTGAAAAATTGTTATCGCGTATTTGTTGTAGTTATGAGTAATGAGTAAGTTGCATAATAGGTATGTCCCTCCGCCGACATCGTCCGTTCTAATATTTTTGCTAAATTTGCTGGCGATAGTTCAATATTTCCAAATGGGAGATTGCGAAATTCACAGACGTAAAGATGGACAGACAAGCGAAATGCTTATGTGGTTATCTAATTTGACGCTGATCAAAAATGCATTGACTTTGCGGGACCTTTGAAGCTTCCTTCTGGACGTTTGCAACATGTTTTAACAAAATGAATGCGTCCCCTTCGTTCGGCAATGGGTACAAAGATAAATTTCGTTATTGCTTTTTAAATTGGAAACATAAAAAAAAAAGAAAACATTTAGGCTCGTAATATCAAAGTTTGTGTTTCCAAATTTATTGCATTCATCGAAACAATGGATAAACGTAGAGGCAAAACGATTGAAAGCTTTCCTGAGCTATTCAGTAATTAATGGTGAAGCTTTACTATGCTGGAAATTCTTTTCACCATCTCCTGTGATACATTGTGGAAAAATGTTGTCTTCAACTCCCAATTCAATCAGAATATATCCTATTAGTCCACATATTGGCTATCATTCGCTATCACTTGCTAATGCATCCATGTACATCCAGATGAACGAAAGATATACTTTAGCGACCATTCTTCATCCTAAACGCAATCTAGAACGATTAATTAAAAAAGTAGCGTCACCTGAAAATACTGCTTTAGTAGCGGCAAGCAGTGCACATATTCAACATTTTGATACTAACAGATATTAAATGTCAAAAGGTCAAAGACAAAGAGAAAAAAAAGTAATGAAAACACATTTTTAATTTACTTCAGTGTTCTTCCTCCATTCTAAGTTCGGCTAACTATTTTATTGATTATTCGTTTTGTACACTAACATATGTATGTTTGCATGTAGGCATTTGCGATTGACATTAAGCACTCGGTAAATGTCCCTTCGTTGTAGAAAATCGTGCACTCAATGCGAGGTAGAACGCAAGAGATTTGTTTTAGCGTTCGAACCGGAATAACCAGACGGCACAGTTAAAACATTTAAAATTACACGCTAAGAAAGGTTGATCATCACCTCAATGTTTCGATATGTTCTCATCGCTAGAAGGTGCATATTAAAGAGCTCTGTTAAAGCGTTGGCACACATGTAGTAAACTTGAAAGAATGTCAATAAATTAGCAGCAGACAGTCGGCACATCTGCCGCGAAATTGAAAGGTCGAAATCGGCCAAGTAGCTGTGAAGGTAACTGAATAATAAAGGAATTCCCTTAGTTAGGTTAGTATTTGAGAAAACATTTCTCACGAAACGTTACTCACTTGTAGCGCATGACTGCTATAGAAGCTATAAAGTTTCTTCAGACCCATCTTAAGCAAGCAACTGATTTTAGCTGTCATCGCTTGTAGAGAGGCAGTTGGAGCAATACTTGAAAAACTCTTATCATCAAAATTTTTTGAATTTTAACACATCCCAAGCAATAGACAAGATGTAATCGGGAACTTGCAACAACAATGTGTTATTTTTTTGCAAAATTATTTACAAAATTTAATAAAAAAGTTTTTCTTCTTATGCTGCGATCCTAAGAAATTTTCCTATTTTTGTTCATATCATTTTCTAGAGACACTCCAAGGTGTCCGCATATAAGGGCAATGGATTTCCTTTTTAGATTTTAAATCTAATTTCCGTTAATTGTCGAGTCGTTGTTTTCTCATAGCTGTTGAAAGTGCAGCAAGTGAAACTTATTGACGTCTTCGCCTTGTGAGCCTTCAAAGCAATTAAATGCCATGAACACATTAAATATCAGAGAGATCAGGGAGATGAACAATGATGAGATAGTTGGAATTATGAGTGTCTTAGGGGTAGCGCTCATGCACCGAACTCTGTTCGAGCATTTCAGCACATGGGGAATATACCGACAGGGGAAGTAAAGGGCGTTTCCTCCTTTTAATGGAAAATGTATCTTTTTGCAAATGAAAGCTGGAAAAACAAATGATCATAATAAATATCTCTACCTGACGGTAAAGTTTTATCTCACCTTTTGTTAGCTTTACCTTCAGACTAAGTCTACCTGAATGATGCTACGATTTCTTTATTTTTCTTAATTTCTACATTCATTTGTCATTTGTTTTTCTTTTCTTTTTTTTTTTTTAAATGCCAAAAAATAATTCCAGAATAGAAAACGATTGCTTTTGAAAAGTGAAGAAACAGCTTGCATATCATAACTTTGAAAGCTTAAAAAAAAAAGTTGTCATATCATTGCACTTTGGGTGATTGAAAGTAAGAATAAAAAATGAATTTCGAAATAAATTAACTGCATCGACGTAAATGTTATTAAAAGAGTCAGGGTTTCATAGTGAAGAGCAAATTTTTATGATCTATTAGGCCGCTGATGCAATGTTAAGAACAAAGAAATCAGTAAATGCCTATTAGTATAGTCCGGTACTAGACATATGATACGTATATGTATGGAATGGTGGTAGGGCGTTTAAAATTCGTTCTTGGGCGAAGGTGTTTCTTCTTTTACTTTTTAAAATTATTGTTTTTCTTATTTTCTTGTTAAATGTATATAAAGCACAAAATTGACGAGCGGCTTTTGGTCGTTCGTTGGTTTAATGAATTGTGATTACAGTAAAACCAAAACAAAGCCGCAGGCATCTTCTCAAATTTTAAATTATGCCCTGTAAGCCAAATAGCGCGAACGATTACGAAGATGCGCTGCAATGCAAATTATAGCCCAAGGGCTGTGTAAAAGCAACGAGCAGAAAAACAGAGAATTCAATTTAGTGTTTGTATTGTCACTTTATGAAAAGGCGTCAAGCACAACGCCACAAACAAAATAAGGAAACATACATACACACACACACACGCGTACACGCACTCATAAGCATATAAATACACCCACATATATTCAGACTGATATGCGATAAATAAATGGAAGGTTCATATCATCATCAGCATCATAATCATGCTTTCAACAATTTTACATGCACAAGAGTAAAAGTTCTATCTATCTATCTATACACACAAATATATATATATGCGCACAAATACACATCAAACAATATCGTTACATGTGTGTTCAAAGCCACCCATATGTCTATTTTCATTTTTTCTGGTTTGTGTGTGTGTGTGAGCGAATTTCTATTGTTGTATTTGTTACATGAAAAGCCTGTAATGCCACTCAAGTGTGCGAATAAAGCACAAGAACACAAAGCTCCTTTATATTATTTGTTATTATTGTTGTTGCCGTTGTTATGTTTGCCGTTAGTATAAAAGAAACGCAGCGAAGCAGAAATTTTTAAATTTTGAACCATTCAAACGAAAATCGTCAAAGGACAGCACATTTTACGGGCATAACAAATATGAAAACAACGTCAACAACAAAAATGTTTAAGCAACTCAAAGCTGTGATAGTGTAAAAAAGGACGTTTATTGTTTTTTTTTTTTTATACATTTGGTTCGATTCGGTCTCATTTACGGTTATCACCCACGACAACATTAATAAAGAATTACACCCATACAGATGACTATCAATGTAAAAATTAGCTTAAGAACGTAAAACTATAAGTTCGCTATTTATTCTAAGACCGATTTTTAATTAATTGAATCGTTTAATTAATTGAATACAATTACATAGGGAAAGCGTAAGTGTACGAAATCTTCGTCTGAGCAAGTCTGATCGTTCTACCAAAAGTATACGACAATGTGAAGGTGAATCGAGTGTAGTAACAACACAAATGTTAATTATATGCTTAACATATACGCTTTAAAATCTTCAATTCAGGGGCATTATCCTGGTCTAATCATCTTAAGAATAAATACGCAGTGTCGATTCTTAAATCGACTCTTAAGCCATTTGCTTGAACAACTACTCTGTACAGTTTTAATCTTATTTGCCCCGATTCAAAATAATTATGATATTTAAAGCTCTGTTCTTACCACATTACAAGTCAACTGATATTTTTTTGTCAACTGATAGTTTTTGTCATTTAATAATTTTGTTTTATAACAAAATTGATATTGAAATGCTTTGTTATTGTGACTGTTGCTTCGGAATGCCAAGACGAGACAAAGTCATAAAAACTATGACACGAAGACATTACGTTCTTTCTTATGAGTAGGGATCGGACAAAATGTCAAAGCACGGCTTCTCGCCTCAATCGAACTCAACTCTCATATTAGGTCATCGCTTTTCACACACGTGACTGTAAACGCTGTTGAATTTGGATTAAACACTATTTTGTATCGATGCTTCTAGATCGTACGCTAAGAATTTGGTTAAAATTGAACGATATCTCATACTTAACACTGTTATCTCCAAAGAACATTATACTCTCTCAAGGTGGACGATAAGGTACTCTAAACCACTTTGCCTAGTACAGTTGCTGGCTTGTTTTGGTTATAATACACGAAAAATTACGCATTGTTTTCTAAAGCAAAAGCATGCTTTTCATGAAGGCCCACAAATTGGAGGCCAGCCAAAAGATCATGTGAGTTGGTCCAAGTTCTGCTACAAAAAACTAGAAAATGGACTGTTTCTCCATATAAGGGCTTGCTTTTCACGATAATCAATATATGTGCTTTAACCGTACTGGCTGCCTTCGGCTGCCAACCTACCAGTAGCAGTGGTCTTTCCTGCTGTATCTGATGTCTCCATTTTGAATTCGAATAACTCCCTTTCTTTACCATACTCTTCCCACAATCCTTCCTGGTTATCACCGCTCCCCCACATGTAGAGGCGCATCCTCTAAGTGGCTGATCGTAGAAAAAACGCAAAAATTATATTCCGTATGGTTGATGCTTTTGCTAAATTGCTTACCAAGGGGCAATTTTCATCATAAAATACTAAAAATTAAACCGTTTTTCAAAGGGCTTACTATTCATGCAAAATCTTACACGCAATGGGTTCTAAGGAGTAGATTCACGTAGTGCAAATTTACATCCACATAATTTCTATGTCAAACGACTGCCATGAGCAAATTTTCATAGCAAAACAGATCTTTTTGTGAACATCAGAATTCGTACGTACGGGCTGGAATCCAACAAATGGGACTATGAGCTCCAATGCTATGTTAAATTCCAACTAAGAGTCAAATTTCACCATGAAATGTTGAAAATGAACTCATTTGGCCATATAAAGATTAGGCCTTCAAAAGAACCGCTACATATTTTAGATAAATATGTGTAATAATCATAAAGTTATCAAACTCGTTATTAAGCCGAAGAGCAGTAGGCTGATTAAAACAAAATTTTTAACAACTTGGTAAATTTCGGGGCGGAGGTTTCGATAAAGAGAGACTTGAAATTTGAATTTGAATTGACGTTTTGAAACTTTAATGGTCAAACTCTTTTTTCACTTCTTCATAGGAAAAGTGTCGACTCTTGAGCGCATTCAAATTTTGTCTATATTTGTAAAAACTAAGCAAATGTTAGCCGATTTGCAGTTTCTACTTTGGTTTTTATACCCTAAGCGAATTGTGACACGAGGTACGATGATTAAATTAGAACAACCAGAATCTTTTATTCTACCGATTGATTTAGAGTGATTCCCCGAATCTATGCTTGTTTGTCTATTCTATTCTATGTCTGCGCCTGTACTCTTGTGTTCAATATACAAGTTGCAAGTCTTACAACACTTTCATGAAATGTGCTACACCGACGCGTTATGACTCAAAAAAAGTGAACTCTACTGAAGATGGTGTAGGGTACTTAATAGTGGACCATGGCCGATTATAATGTTTCTAGTTGTTGCTAGCTACAGATTGCCGGAACTTGGAGATGGTGTCCACAATGTCTGTTCCGGGTTTTTAGAAAATAAGTACTTTTAAGAGGCGAATCCTGAATAGATAGACGCCGATTAGGACGGTTTTTTTTTTTTTCTTTTTGCGAAATAAAATGACGAATTCACATCCGATAAAGAGCGGAAATTGTCGATGAAAGCTTTAATATATTTGATACATTGATTATAACGAAAGCATATATAGCTTTTTTTTCTATTGACAAGAAGGATTCGATACATGCATCCCAGTATGTTAGATCATACTTTAATTACGATTGCTGCGTGACCAAGGTAGGTTGAATGATTGGCTACACATCTTCTAGACTACGTGGTCACGCCCCCGCGCGTCGACGGGGTTACGTCCTGGGTGAAGGATCATATTACTTCCGAAATGATGAAATAAGTATCCATCAACTTTTCCATGGTGGATAGAACCCTGACATCTATATTTTTTTTTAATTTTTGTAAGGAAAAAACAAAAAAATAATTTGAATTTTCATTTCTAGACGTTCAGGATCAAAATTTGCTACAAAATTATCTTAAATTTTTTCTTCTTTTTTTTTTCATCACTCATTATCCTTTAAACAATGTCGTTTCATTTACAAAAAGCTGGGATTGCTTGGAAATAATGATTCGCTCAGAACTCATAAAAATATCCATTTGCATATGTATTCGGATATATGCATACCATGTGTATATATGTTTGTGCATATGTGTGTGCATTTACGTCGAAATATTGAATGCGGTTCATTGAATTCGTAACGAGATTAGGTTACTTTCGGGTTATTCAACAATGGAACTTGAATGTATAGAAGAATGTCTCTCCCTTATTCTCCCAAGCTTCTCTTTGTGCTCGCTTTTAAAATTCTTTTATGGGAAAAAAATGAAAAAATAAAATGTTTACAATAACAAGAAAATGTAACTATTTCAACACGTGTAATACACACCTTCGTTGACATATTTGTAGATACATATGTATTTGGCTACGCACGTACTCATGTATGTACGTCATGTTTTGAATGACAGTTAACTATGTATAAATATATGACTTTTGATTATGATTATTATTTTGGTTGTTCAATGTTGTTAAATAAAAGTACGCTTCACTGAGTTTCACACTTGCCCGTGTATTGTGTACCTCCGTCTTTAATACACTACGAATGCGAATGTATGCATTCGTGTATATGTTATGCAACGTTGTCGCTTTGATGTGAAACATTTTTTTTTTTTTTTTTTTTTTTTTTTTTGATTATTTTACCAAAAATATTTGAAATGTTTTCTTTTCCTTTTCAATTTGTTTTTCTCCTTGCTTTCCCTACAATCAACATCGGAAATGATATCGTTTATAAAATTTCTCAGTTATCAATAGAGTGGATACAATTTGTGTGATTGTGACTATGACTGTCTGTCTGTCTGTCTGTCTGTGTGTGTGAGTGTGTATTCATGTATTTTACGCCTCTTCAATTTATTTATGTGCATTTATAGGGCGTATATACATACAAATAAGTTTGCATATATGCATGTGTGCATGTAGTTATGTAAAGTCTAACAAATTACAAAAAATTTGTCGTTATAACCACTTGGAAGCAAATTGACAAAGTTTGTAAAAAAATGCTCTGTTCAAAAAAGTTTTGATTAACTTGAAATACCTTGAGATTGTGTTGAGCTGTGGGAGCCCCACGAGGACTTGTATGATGAATCTGAAAATAAAGATGAAAAGAACAAAAAAAGAAAAAGGAAACCATTATTACTTGAAAATGTTTCAAGTACTTGTAAAGTACTTTACACGATAAAACCTGAATTTCGAAGAAATATGAATGCGGATAATGCTCTAATAGTAATACCTTAAAATTATAACTGATCATTAATCACAGGGAAAAACTATACGTTATCTTATCATCGTTTTTATGACTTTGCATCAAATTTTTTATATTCTGGAAGCAATAGTCATTACAATGAAAGTCTTCAATAACAATTTGATTATAGAGAAAGATTCTGAAGTCACCAAAAAAAAAAAAAAAAAATACTGCAATGACTGCCTCGTTGCTTCCCGACGCTTCTTTGCATCGTTGTGGCGAAAAAGATAATAAGCCCATATATACAAGTGATACGTTGAGTACGATTGCAATTTTCTTGAACAAACAATTTTCATAAAGTGTATGCAGATGTGATAAATACATTGTGAACAAACGCTTCATTAGCCGACGTAACTTATTATCGCAATCAATGGTTAGTTGCTATAAAATTTGAAGTAAGGATTATAAAAAGGCATTTAAATGTACTTGAAAGTATGAATGGAAAATATTCCAAATAATTCTAAGAAGATTCGCAACCACAAAATCAAGCGCATTTTTGAAATATTCAACTGAGGAAACACGCGTTTTTCCCTTTCCGTCTTTTACGGTTCCGTACAAGTGTATCTGCGAAATTACTTAAATGCAAACAACATGTGTTAGTTTGCATGCAAAAACTGTAATAGTGATAGTAATTAGAAGTTTTCTATCAAAACATGATATTTCTTGCAGCTTCGAACGATTTTTTTAACTCACAAAACTAATTTCATAACAAAAAAAAAAAAATCATTTCGAACTTCAGGTTAATGGCAATTTTTCTGCGCTTCCATAATAAAGCAAGAACTCGGATGGAAGATAAAATCATTCACTAAGCAATTGTTATTCGAATCAATTATTTTACGCAATTTCGATAGATTTGATCATTAATTCATGAAAAAATCAGATCCACCGTAAGATTGCTTCATAAATATTTCTATACCCGGCACCGCGGCATAGGCTACAAGATTTAAAACAGTCAGGCGGAATATTTAGAGATCAGATTATGTATATATGTAAATATTCATGATTCTTGAGGGGTGCTTATCCGTCCATATGTCTCCCTGCCGGTGTACACAACTGCTCGCAAAAATTCGAATATTCACTTTAAATTGATCGAAAACGATGAAAATTCTTACGTAGACGTTGGTGGTGAAAATCGGTCGAAATCGATCAAATGATGGGCACATAATGCAATCTTTCAAAATCCAAGCAGTTGTTGTTTTCACCAATTACTAATAAACTGGAAAATGAGAAAAATCGGTTACGCCCATGCAATATTATTGAGCGCATCGAAGTTTCATATATTTCGATATTGTTTAAGATGAAGGTGACAGATAAAGGAAATTCTACTGCAGCCGAACACCGTTTTCTTCGAAAAAATGATGCATTTTTATTCTATTTGATGTAATTATAGCGATCATGGACGATCTAAAAGCGTTTTTAATACGAATCTGTAGGCGATAGAAAAATTGCAAATCCGTTACTTTTTACAAAAAACTTGCACGTTGTGGAGCGGGCTATAGAGCGGACTTTAGCGAGCCATAAAAAAACAAATGTCATAATAATAATAATAAGCAAATGTTCGATTTATTTCAAAGTTAAAATTTGCGTTAATCGTGAAAGCTTAAGTTATTTTTGAGCATTTTGATAGGTTTCAGGCATCAGACCAAACGAAAAAAGCGCATTGCTTGAACTGGGCTGCATATGCTACATATGTGCAAATTTTTCAATTTTTAACTTTACAAGTTTCGACAACAGTTGATCAAACATACTTCTACGGTACGTTAAATGTGCGTCAAGCTGAATCCAATTTCGGAGAACAAGTATCGGAAAAGAATCTCCGCTTGTCCTTTGACGATAGGAGAAAGTAGTTGCTATTGTTGTCTATCGAACAGTTTTGACAACGGCATTATTTTACATGCAACTAACTAAGGATGCATATTACGTCAATAATTATGAAAACCAAAAAATATATCTTTTTCGTTCTTATTTAATGTTGCCTAACATCATTACGACATATATGACTCTGTATTAAATTGTTCATAACAAATTTGAAAATTAAAAAGATTGCGGTCGCATCTTTGATTTTTACCCGCTGACTCGCTGATGATAAAACAATTTGACGCTGATATTCTCGCAGCGATTAAGAATTTGTAGTCCTTCCGAGTTTTATTTAGGCTTCTTTAATATTCGATTAAATATGCCTAACAAGATTTCATTGACTTCCATGAGTTGAACCAATCATTGAATTTGTTCACGTTCAGCATTCGATCAATCTTACGGAACACATAAAAATTATTACCCAAAAAATCGGTGATAGCAGTGAGAGCTCGCTTTTGACATAAAGATTTTTCGTGAATGTTTTTGATTGCCGAAGAAAGCCGTTCTAAGAAAAGTAGACCCGATCACCCTCAAACCAAAATGTAATTATAAATCAGTCGATTACAGTCGATAATGCACTCAATTCGATGACAATAATAATAATATTGATATTTCACTGTATTATGATATTAACTCATTTTATTGCCATACTTACTACTCTCTTTCTATGACAAGTGACCGGCATAGGTGTATGCTATGCTTCAGCCGATCGTCTTTGGGTAAGCTGCAATAAGCTTACACAATATGAATATCGGCGAAAATCGAACACTAACAGAAACAAGCATTTTCAATACAAAGGCATAGGGGAAAAGGAAAATTCGATCTCGGACGGATTATTTTTTGTATGCGTAATTATGCAAACGTACAAATAAACAAAGCCTTTGCAAACACTTTGTGTCTGATAACAAGCTCATCTTTGTACAAGTGACTTAGTCAACATGAATATTGAATCACGAAACAATTTTCAGACGAGAAAAATCATATCAGAAAAAACTCAAGTTCAGTTGCATGCGAGAAAGCGTTTGTTGGATGCGTTAAGTAGCGTTTCCGTTGCGTTTTCCCAATGCCAAAGTCTGGTGTTTAAAACAGTTCCAATTTATTAGAAAGAGTTCTTTCAATTGAACTGATTATGAAAGAAGAGAAATGGGGTATGTCTATGCTTTCGAGAATCGTTTTAAATCGTTTTAAATAGCGATTTTAAGTGCTCTTGACACCGCTGCCGTAAATTAGAAGCAATAGCGTTGAAAACATAAAATCCCGCTTCCTTAACAAGATGCATACATATTTAAGATATAGCCGTTACCGTTACGGAAGCCTATCTTAATCCCTTACCGCATATATTTTCGTTATAGAAAGACTTTGGAGCGAGCCAAAGCCATGCTTAAAATTTTATAAAGAAAATTTTCTTTTCTTTTTTTTTTTTTGTATAGAAGTTTATGCTTATGGGTTATCGAGAGTGACGGATGAGATGTCCTTCAGACCTCCTGAAATTCTACCGTAACCAAGCTGGATATATTCGAATCTTATTAAATTTTAAATATGTGTTTGCATTGCACGGATATAAAGTGAATTGTATAGCTGTAAAGCTATAAAAATATAAAAAAAGTATGCATAGACTCATTAGAATCGATCACGTTTAACATTTTTCGTTTAAGCAAGAGTGCAGCTCCTTTTTTATCGATCACTCACCTGCGAACAACATTGAAAAGTTGTTAAAACTTCCTGTGGAACGTGATAAATAATCAGCTGTAGGTTTAATGTCAAGCATCATGATATAAAGCAACAGAGCGGCGGCAACTATTTTGGCTTTTTGATTTTAGTTTGTTTTTTTGTGCTGTTTTTTTTTTTTTTTTTTTTTTTTTTGTTAAGCCGCCAAATTTACAATTGTTTGAGTGATTGGTTTCGGATATTTCGCGTTAGTTCATCCACCGATTAGCCAGTAAAACATTTTTTTAGTTTTTCAAAAAAAAAACAAAAATTATGAATATTTCCTTAAATACATGAAATTTAATAAAATTGTTTCGATTTGAATTTTCGTTTTAAATGCAACACGATGCCAATAGAGGTTGCGACAAATCGTAAAACCACACACTCACTGATTAATGTGCTGATGATGATAGTCGGTCGGAAAGATGCGACAAATTATAGTCAATTGAATTTATTTTTAAATATGTTTATATAGAATATGCACAACAATACATAGTCGCGTGAAAAGAGAAGATGAGATTGAGTAAGGGAGAGAAGGAAAAAGAGATAGAATGAGCGAGAGAATGAAGCGGCGCTGGAGCAAACCATCAAACGGTATTGGCGCCACAAGCGGAACAGGAAAAGGAACGGGAAAAATGACGATCGGAACCTGTTACCGTTAACCGGACACCTCAACTTCCGGACAATTTTTGCCGCTGTTGTTATTGCTATTACTCTGCAGTCGTAACGCGATAGTTGTACTCTCTAACACACCGACTAATCAACAATTTGCTGTTTGCTTTTTGACAGTTTATTCAAAAAGGTGAAACTTGCTACCGTGTTGTTATGTTATTTTAGGCTCTACCTTAACGTTTGGTTCACTGCTTTTTTTTTTTTCTTTCATTTATTTATTTTTTTTTTTTTATTTTGTTTTCTGTTCGCTATTATTTTTCTTTTTTTAATTTTTCGAGAAAAAAAAAAACAAAAGGAAAAATTGTCTCAAGTCCAAGTAGAAAATTATGTGGTCGGAATAATAAATTACGTAAAACACACTTTTTTCCTTGCTCGTCTTGTGCTTGTGGCTGCTGATGACTGACACCGGATTGCGACTGATCTGTGGCACAGTAACATAACAATTGATTTCATTCCGTCGCCAAATCGCACATATCCTGCCCAGCTACCGGCTCATAAATGCGATTTCCACCCTCTGCCCATTTTCTTGTGCTCGTTGCTGTTTTTGTTTTTATTTACTAACGAGCAGGGGGTGAGTTTCGGAAACGAATTGCATTTGCCTAGCATAA